TCCTTTTTTCTTTCCCCTAAGTACTGAAGAATCTTACATTCAGCCTTTAAGCATTCTGCATTTCTTTGCCAATCTTGTAGCTGAGTATCTTGTTCCAGTCGATTTTGGTGCGAGTAACTGGAAGCTGCCGGCGCAAGGCTTTGAACGTGGTATCTGACATTGTTTGATAGTTTTCACTAATTGCTGTCTGTAATAGATAATTGGATAAAAATTGGGGTTGGTTGTGGATAGTACAAAACTCTTGTAGTCAAAAGACAATCTTGGATAAGGACAAAAGTACTCATTATTTTTAGCAAGCTCCTCTCTATAATCTCCGAAATGCGTTAAATGGCCCATCTAAATTATTTGTATACAAAGCCACAAATTCAATACCAATGCTTTAGTGATAAAAAGTATACAAGATTATATGGCCTGCAAAGCTTTGACAGAAAGTAACATTTAACTATGTTAAAGGGCAAAGATCTAACAAAAGATGTTAAGAGTAAAACAGCTCTATTAAAACTAGTTTGAAATCTTACCTGATATTCATTCTCTGCATGTTCTATGATCTTAACAAACTCCTTGGCAGTCTGGACTTCATTCTAAAAGAGGGGAAAGCAAGGTAAAGAAGTGGGTGGGAAGAGAGAACAATTATCACGTGTAAGCAGTGACCAAAAAGTTATCAAGTCTACCACAACCATAACATCTGTGGAAAATGTATAGTTTACAGTGTGTTACAATGCACATAACTGACTCTAGTCCTCAAAACAAACCTCTCAGGTTATTATCATTTCCAATTTGCAGATGAGAAAATAACCTTTTTAAGTTACTTGTCCAAAATGATACAACTAATAAGTGATGATAGAGATGGAATCTAAATCTAGCTTTTATCCAAAGAAATAATATAATCTGTATGCTCTTCTTACACTCTACCATGTAATGTCTAAAAGTATGAAGATGCTTTGAAAATATCTTGGTTTACAGTGATATTAATTCCCTCAGACAAATCAATTATATTTTCAAACATATACTGGTCTACATTCCACTTATGCAAAATCAGCTACTCATATTTTATTCTCAAGATTTAGGTACAAAATTAAAGACTTTCGCTTTCCCTATTTAATAAGTTAAAAGAAAAAAATTGAAGGTAAGAGGGTAAAATTAAAGACATTGAGAAATAGATCTCATAGTGTGGTCCAAGGACTCTGAGGGCCTCTAAGACTTCTAAGGGCACCACTGGGGCAAAAACTATTTTCTATTTTCATTAAAATACTGAAACATAAAAAAACCCACACCAAACACCACCCAAAAACAACAACAAAAAAACCCCCCTGAAATATCATTTGCCTTTTACTCTCTCTTCTTTTTTTTTTGTGTCTTCTTTCTTATAGATGTACCAAGAAGTTACATGACGTATGATGAGTCTCACTCTGAGGGCTAGTAAAATGACTGCAGCAGATTAGAATCCAGCTGTATTTTATTGAATTACTCAGATTTATGGAATTATAAATCAATGCCAGATAATCACTTTCTTATTTATAAATCATTGCCATGATCATCCCTTTTTTATTTGTGGCATGAAAAGATATTTTTCATAAGAATGTTATTTTAACCAGTAATGGGTTTGTTAATGTTATATTTCTTTTTAAAATTTTTTTGTTTTATTATTTTTTGAGTGTGTACCGTCAAATCAGATCCAAATGGTACAGGAGGAGATTGCCCCTCCTTCTCCAGCAAAGCATCTGGTGGATTTGAACCGCAGCGCACTGGGACTGCAGTGCAGCTTCTTGCCACTAGGACACCAGAGTTCCCGTATTTGTTTTTAAAGTTCAACAGCTCTACTTTTCTTTGTAATGATCAGCTCTCTAGTTTTCATAAATGTGTATTATTTATATAGCCAATAAAATTTAGAAAATATCTATAAAGTGTCTCTCTGTTCATACAGTGTTTTTCAGCAGCAGTCTCTCTAGAAACTTGGCTTTTGGTTTTAAAAAAAATCTAATAATGAATGCTAAAATTTGTAAGATAGCTGGGATCTCCTGTTAGCCAACTGCATATTTTATTAAGTCCTACCAACAACAGAGTCATAAACTCAAGAGAACATATCTTATTCCAGTTCCTTCTAGGGCAATTTAGTAGTTTTAATTCAGTAAATACTGGTTAAATGAAAGAATCAAACAAAAGATTCTCTCCAACCACATTTACTAGTTCACATAAATATCTGAAAACTGTTTGACTCAAAAGATTCTCTCCAACCACATTTACTAGTTCACATAAATATCTGAAAACTGTTTGACTAGCTTTACCTTAAAAAAAAATCTGAAAACATATTTATCTCTTTCTGTATCCTTGACGCAATTTATTAATAGATCTTAATAAACTAAATGTCCAAAGGAGGAAATTACTTTTAAAATACAATGTCAATAAACAGCCAAATACATCAATAAAAAAAGGACTACTTGAATATACCCTAAAGGGACCATAACTAACATCCAAGCAGATATATGCACACCCATGTTCATCACAGCTTTGTTCACAATAGCTAGGAGTTGGAAACAACCTAAGTGCCCATCAACAAATCAATGGATAGAGAAGCTGTGGTATATTCACACAATGGAATACTATGCTGCATTGAAAAACAAGGAACTCATGCAATATTATTCAAAATGGGTGACCCTCGAGGACATTATGCTGAGTAAAATATCTCAGTCAAAAAAGGACAAATACTGCAGGGTGCCACTGTTGTAGAAAGTGACTGACGTCAGGGTTGGGGTAAGACTGAGAAAAACTGAATAGATTATGTATACTGAATTGAAACACATGAGGGAGAAAACAGTTTAAAAGTAATATATGATAGCATATTATGATTATCAGAGGAATCCAGAATTAAGGTTGTATAGTGGAGTGCATTTGGGGTGGGGGGATTGTATACCAACAAAGAAGTTTATCTTTTGCTTTTCAAAGAGAGGAGTGAACTGGGGGAAGGGACTAAGAAAAAAGTGCAACAATGAATAAATGAAAATCCAAAATCTCTGCAAATGTTCATTAAAATTAAATTTTTTTTAAAAAGAACTACTTATTTCCCCTTTAATAGCAAGCTGCTGATTTAGAATTTTATTAAAATGAATTTCATCTATAAAACAAAGTAATTTACATCTTGATCTTGGATTCTGCTAATGTTATTTTTAAGTGAATTAGATGGTTTTAACATTTTTCAGTTTTAATATCTCATAAGGAAAATAACTACTGATAGTACATATGTAAACACAAGCTCTTTAGGGTCTTCGGTAACATTTTTTAAAATTATAAAGATGTTGGCCAGCTCTGGTGCCCTAGAGGCAAGAAGGTGCACTGCAATCCCAGAGGTGACCAGTTCAAATCCACCAGATGCCTTGCTGAAGAAGGAGGGACAATCTCTTCCAGTACCAGTCAGATCTGATTTGACGGTGTACACACACACACACACGCACACACGCGTGCACAAACACACACACACACAAGAAACATTAAAACAAAAGAAAACAAACAAGATTATAAAAATGTACTAGGACTATAGAGAAAGAATCTAAGACATAACTAGATCCCTTCTTCTGGAGAGGGCATAGAACCTAACACTGACAGTATTTTATTTGATAACATTTCTTTCCTCCTGGTATTTATTGATGGTTCTGCCATCCTTAACATATTTCACAAGTGAAAAAGAGAAATGTGTATTCTTTTTAAAGTCATTACCATTGCTCTGAATCAAAGTCAGCTATGAGTTAATATAGCTGCTTAGGTATAGCTGGACTCTTTTTTTAAAAAATAAATCTACATTTATGCTAATGACAGTAATAATTACTAATAAAAGTTGTGAAATCAAAACCTTAAAAACCAAACTATAGTCTATTGCAGAAAAGCACTCAAGCTCAAAATCAACTTTCCCCTCCCAAGGATAAATAGGCACACGTGACACAAACTTTCAACTCACCGAAACAGTTAATGAATCTTGTACATCTTTATGACTAACCAACTGAACATTGCCGTCTTCATAATAATGCACCTGTGTAAGAGAATGTTTGAACAAATTTATGGGTAATTCTCCTAGAAATCTACTACTATCCAGGCACAAATCTGTATTTTAAGCCATCTCTAATCTTTATTAACACTGAGCAAACTGTTAATTCATGTGGCCAGTCCACACCAGAATAACTAATTGCCATCATGTCAGAACCCACTTAGAGCTAGTCCATCAGCAGGTTTTCAGAGGCTGTAAACTGTAAGGAGGAGAATGTCCATCTTTCTCCACTGGAGCCAGGCGTGGATCCAAACTGCCAGGCAGGTGGGGGCTTTGCTTAAGCAGTGCAGCTCCCCAACTAAAGACCAGAAAAATTACTCCCTCAAAAAACCCTTTTATTATAAAAAATAGTAGAAATTAAAAGTCATAAACCATTAAGAATTCTCTCTTGCTTTAGCATAACAAACTAATAATTTTAATTAATTAGGTTGTGCTGCAATTCGAAGACATGGTTCAAATCCACTAGCTGCTCTAAGGGAGAAGGATTAAGTTCCTTAAAGGTCAGTTAAGAGTCAGTTCTGACTCAAAGGCACCAAACAACAACAACAAACACTATGAAGTGCTAATTACATTCCATTAACTATATTAGGCATTGAAAATACAAAGATTAAAGTTCTCACTGTTGTTGTTGTTGTTATGTGCCATCGAGTCGCTTGCAACTCATAGTGACCCTATGTACAAAGAGTTCTAAACGCCGTTCTATCCTGTGACAACCTAGCCATCTCAAACGAACTCATTCCCACCTCTCCAGTCACAGAATCGATCCATCTCATCAAAGGTCTTCCTCTCCTGCACCGCCCCTCCACCCTGCCAAACATGATGTCCCTCTCCAAGGACGAGTCCCTCCTTGCAACATGCCAAAATATATCAGACGAAACTTCAGAATCCTTGACTCTAAGGAGCATTCTGGCTTCAACTCCAGGAGAAACCTGTTTGTTCTCCTAGCAGTCCACGGTATATTCAATACTCTTCTCCAGCACCACAGCTCAAAGGCATCAATTCTATTTCTATCATCCCTAGTCAGTGTCCAACTCTGATGCATAGCACATAATTGAGGAAACTATAGCCCGGATCTGGCACACCTTAGTCTCCAGCCTGACATCGTTGCTCTTCAGTACTCTTGAGAAGTCCCTCACAGCTGACTTTTCCAATGCAATTTGTCTCTTGATTTCCTGGCTGCTGTTACCAAGAGTGCTGACTGTGGAACCAAGTAAACTAAAACTGTTAAGTTTCAGCAAGTAGGGTTGTGTCATCTGCATAATGCAGGTTGTTGATGACTCTTCCACCAATCCTGATGCCACATTCCTCTTTGTACAGGCCAGCGTCTCAGATGATCTGTTCTGCATACAGATTGAAAAGGTATGGAGACAGAATACATCCCTGATGGACCCCCTTCTTGATTTGAACCATATAGTGTCTCTTTGCTCTGTTCTGACGACTGCCTCTCTTTAGCACAATCAAATGTTCTGGGATTCCCATTCTTCTCAGAGTCAGCCACAGCTTGTTGTGATCCACTCAGTCAAAAGCCTTTGCATAGTCACTGCATCAGAAGGGAATTGGCTGACACAGAAGAATTTCATGAAATAACATATGAGCAAGAGCCTATGGCAATGAAAGAGGAAGTTCAATTGCTCTAAAGGAATTGGCAAAAAACAAGGCTCCAGGAGTTGATGGCATACTTATTGACATATTTCAACAAACAGACACTGCCCTGGATGTGCTAAGTTGTGCCAAGAAATCTGGAGAACAGCCAGCTGGCTGACTGACTGGAAAAGATCGATATTTGTTCCCATTCCAAAGAAAGGTGACCCAAGAGATTGTGGGAATTATCAAATAATATCATTAATATCAAATGTAAGCAAGATTCTGCTGAAAATTATCCAAAGACGTTTGGAACAATATGTCTCACTGTTATCAGTAATAAAATTATTAAAATCATATTACTGATACATTTTTCTCTATGAAAATGACATTTTGAAAAATTGATGACTTTTGAGTCGTGGTGTTGAACAAGAGTGCACAAATATCCCACAGACTACCAAAAGTACAAACAAGTATGTCTTGGAGAAAGTGCAGTGAGGATGCTCCTTGGAGGCAATGATAGTCGAGTATGTTCTCACATATTTTGGGCATGTTGTTAGGAAGGACAGGTCCCTGGAAAAAGACACCATGGAATAATGGAGAATGATGGAGGGTGAGCAAAAGAGAGGAAGATCCTGAAAGAGATGAATTGACACAGTGATTATAATAATGGGCTCAGGTATATCACAGATGATGAGGATGGTAGAGGACAAGACAGGGTTCATATCTGCTGTTCACAGGGTCGCTATGAGTTTATAGTCAGTTGAATGGCACCTAACAACAACATTTCCTAATAAGAGTGCTCTAGTGAAGAGGAATGTGGCATCAGGACTGGAGGAAGATTTATCAATAATCTTTGTTCTGCAGATGACACAACCTTGCTTTCTGAAACTAAGGAAGACCTGAGGCATCTGCTGCAAAAGGTCAAGGACTACAGCCTTCAATAAGAATTGAAGCTCAATGTCAAGAAAACAAAGATTTTCTCCCCTGGGCCAAATGATAGCAACTGATAAGATGGCAAAGACATTTAGATTATTAATAGCTTTAGCTTGGTGGTTGTTGTTATTGTTGTTAAGTGCTTGGTTAGCTCTACAAATAACACTACTAGCAGCCAGAAAATAAAAAGATGAATTACATTGGGAAGATCTGCCAGGGGCCTCTCTCCAGAGTACCAAAGAGCAATGATCTCAGTCTAGAGACTAAGGTACACCTGGGCATAGTCTTTGCAATCACTTGCTATGCATCAGAGAGCTGGACAGTGACTAAGGATGACAGAAGAAGAATGGATGCCTTTGAATTATGGTGTTGTAGAAGAGTATTGAATATACCGTGGTCGGCTAAGAGGACAGACAAGTCCATCATGGAAAGGTGAAACCAGGTTGCTCCTTGGAAGCAAGGATTGCCCCATCTGACATACTCTGGACATGCTGCCAGGAGGGACCAGTGCTTGGAGAGGGACATCAGGCTGGGAAGGGTAGAGGGACACCACAAGAGAGGAAGACCCTGGATGAGATGGACTGACTTGGTGACTGGGGTAATGGGGGCAGGTGTGTCAGACACGATGAAATTGACTTAAGATAGAGCAGGGTTCAGAGCTGTTGTACATAAGGTTGCTATGAGTTGCAGGCAACTTGACAGCATATAACAACAACAACAAACAATAAAGTGACCTAATATGCAAGGAGTTGAGCTGCCAACCTGATGGCAGGTAGTTTTGAATCCACCAGCTGCTCCAAGAGGAAAAGATAGGCTCCTCCCATGCCATTTACAGCCTCTGAAAACCAAATAGAGGGTCAACTATGCATCAGTTCCAACTCAAAGGCAGTTAAGTTTGAGTTTTTTTAGAATTAATTCCTAATAATGAGCAGTAGTGACACAATGGTGAAGCACTCAGCTGCTAACCACTTTGCAGGAGAAAGAGGAAGCAGTATGCAGCAGTCCTACAGGTTAGAACCGACATGAATGCAATGGGTTTCACTTTGGGAATTCCTAATGCCTGTCTTATCTCTCCATATATATTATAAAAAAACGCTGGTAAGTAAAGAAAAAAAACCAACCAAAAAACAAAACACCCACCCAACAACAACACTGTTAAGTATATATAACTAGGTACAAGGAGAGTTTCATTTTGACAGAAACTGTACTGGGCAACATAAATCCATAATATATTCTTGTTTAAAAGATGAAATGGCGTCTTCCTTAGTGCTTACAAGAAACTAGCTGCACCCAGATGGGCAAGAGAAGCCTTTCTATATTCTCTACAAATTCTTAAAATTTCACCTTTTGGCTTTCTTAAAGAAGTTAAATAGAAAAAGCAGTTTAAGAAAATGCTAGAGAGTCAGAATTTCTAAGTGCCTGTAATATTTAAACAAATTTCAGAACAGCAAATATTTGGACAAAAAACATTGGGCTAAATAATTAAGATTTATAGTTGTCAGAACAGAGCAAGGAAACACGGCGTGGTTAAAAATTGGGAACAGTGTGTGTCAAGGATGTGTCCTATCTCCTTATCTCTTCAATCTATATGCAGAACAGATTATCTGAGAGCTTGGCTCTAGGAGAAGTGTGGCATCAGGATTACAGAAGACACAACCCTGCTTGCTGAAACAGAGGAGAACAGACCTGAAATGCCTGCTGCAGAGGATCTGTAGGATTCACAGGAATCAAAATCTGATCTTGAATCTACCCTCCCTGAATTTAAAAACGAACTCAGGCATAGGTTTGAGGCCTTGAACACTATTAAACCAAGACCATATGAACTGTGGGAAGATACCAAGAGTAAGAATGCATAAAGTCATTATTACAAAGAATGAAGAACACCAAAATGGATGTCAGAAGAGATTCTGAACACTGCATAAAAGCACCAAGAAGCCAAAGCAAAGGGAAGAAATCAATACGTTAAAGAAGATTTTGAAGGGCAGCATGTGATTATAAGACAGTATTATAATGAAATGTGAAAGGAGCTGGAGTTGGAAAATCAAAAGGGGTGAACTTGATCAGCACTTCTTAAGCTAAACAAAAGAACAAATTCAAGCCACGAGTTTCAGTGCTTAAGGATGCTATGGGCAGAATATGAAATGATTCAGGAAGCATAAAAAGAAGAGGAAAAGGGTATACAGAGACATTGTACCAAAAAGAATTAGCTGACACAGAAGAATTTAAAGAAACAACATATGATCACGAAGCAATGATGATGGAGGACAAAGTGCAGGCTGCTCTGAAGGACTTGGCAAAAAAAAAGCCCCAGGAACTGATGGAATACCAATTGATGTATTTTAGCAAACAGATGTTGCCCTGCATGTGTTCACCAGGTTGTGGCAAGAAATCGGGAAGACAACTACTTGGCCAACTGATTGGAAAAGATCCATGTTTATCTCATTCCAAAAAAAGGTGACCCGACAGAGTGTGGAAATTATCAAACAATATCACTAATTTCACATGCAAGCAAAATTCTGCTGAAAATTACTCAACAATAACTGGACCAGTACATATACAGAGATCTACCAGATATACAAGCTGGGTTTAAAAGAGGCTGTGACACTAGAGACATTATTGCCAATGTCACATGGATCTTTTGGCAGAAAGCAAAGAGTACCAGAAGAATGTCTATCTGTGTCTCATTTGACAATCCAAAGGCATCTGCGTGTGTGATCACAACAAACTGTGGCTAACCTTGAGGCAAATGGGAACCAGAACACTTGATTGTGCTTATGTGAAATCTATACTTGGATCAGGAAGTAGAACAGAGCAGGGAAACACTGCATGGTTCAAAATCAGGAAAAGTACATCAGGGATGCATCCTGTCTCCATACCTTTTCAGTCTATATGCAGAACAGATCATTCAGGAAGCAGGGCTTTATGAGGAGGAATGTGGTATAAAGATTGGAGCAAGACTCATCAGCAACCAAGTTATGAAGATGACACAACCTTGCTTGCTAAAACTGAAGAAGATCTGAAGTGCTTGCAGCAGCAAGTCAAGGACTGTAGTCTTCAATATGAATTGAAGCTTAACATCAAGACGACAAAAGATTCTCTCTCAGGACTGGGCCAACTGGCAGCACCATGATTGGTAGAGAAGAGATTGAGGTTAACAATTTCAGCTTGCTCACTTCCACAATCAACACCTTTGGTACCAGCAGTCAGGAAATAAAAGACAAACTGCACTGGGATAATATGCTGTCAGAGACCTCTCCAGAGTGTGAAAAGCAATGATGCCAACGATGTGGTGCTGAAGAAGAGTCTTGAAAATACCATGGACTTCCAAGAAAACAAATAGGTCTCTCTTGGATAGGGTGAAACCAAGTTTCTCCCTGGAGCTAGGATTTTGAAGCTCCATATCATATACTCAGGAGAGACTGGTCCTTGGAGAAAGACATCATGCTTTGAAAGGTGGTGGGACAGCACAGGAGTGGAAGACCCTGGATAAGATGGAATGATACTGGGGCAATGGGTGTTGGTGTGTCAGAATTAATGAGACTGGTTCAGGACAGGGCAGGGTTTAGAGATGCTGTACACGGGGGCAGGTCACTTGGATGGCACATAACAACACCACCACCACCACTTACAATTTTTAGAAATAATCTTAAATTCTTAGTTTCACAACAAAATATTTTGTGGGTCTTATCTGCTGATGTTAACTAATACAACTTTAAACACGATCATCATGAATATAAATTCTCACAATTTTTTATCTTCCCACAACTTTTCTTTTGTCTATAAAGGATCTTGAGGAGCTTATGACCTTTCCCATAATTCTCACTCTTTCTTGAAAATATATTTAAATGAAGCAAACAAACCCTTCTCAAAAGTGACATCAGATAATCTGTGCTTAAAAATTCTAAAAGAGGGGGAGGGCTGAGCAGGGAGAAAAGTGCAACAATGAATGAATGGAAATCCAAAATCTCTGTAAATGTTCATTAAAATTAATTACATAAAATTAAAAAAATTATAACAGAGGATCTAGGCACTGGATGCCATATTAACAGGAGTATAAGCAAGTACCTTTTATAGGTATATAGTAGAAAATAAAAAGACAATTATTTCCTTCCAGAAGAAAAAAATTTATTCATAAATAAATTTATAAATAAAATAAATAAAACCATAATAAATTGCTGGTGTCATAGTTACAAGAGATTTAGTGTTACAGCTACTCACAGATAGGAGTAACAAAGAGAACAATATGTTGTTTTAGGTTCCCCCAGAAGCTGACTCCAAGATAAATATTTGAGGGGAAGTCTTTAAGAAGGAAGTAATCTTAAGAGGTCTACTAGCAGACTGAAGGGGTGAGATACAGGAAGGAAGGGAAGCTTTATAGGTGCATTAACAATCAAGTTATAGTTGTGAGCTCTAGAGATCACTGGAATATCAAGTAGAAGATTCTTCAGAGTTCTTGTATATTACAGGGGGCTGCTTGCTGCTTTCAGAGCTATCAACCCAACACTTCTAGCCTGCCTCAACTAGCTGTTGTGCATGCTTCTGCAGCCAGGAAAAGCCCCCAAGATGAAAGACACTGCAGCTTGTATGAAGCTGTAGGTATGTATGGAAACAGTACAGATAGCATCTACCTTATATACTTCAACTCTTACTAATAGTTATTTTTAAAACAAGAAAGCACAATATATTTAGGTACTGATGATTTCAGTTACCAAAAATGCAAACTTCCTGCCTTTGAGATTGTCCCAACTCACAGCTGACCTTCCAACAGTGTAAATCATCATGGGAAGAGACGGTTCATCTTTCTCCCATAGAGCAGCTGGTGGATTCAAACCACCAGGATGATTGATGCTTTTGGGTTAGCAGCACAACTTGCTATGGATTTTGCCACTAGACACTCATTTCAGTGATTAGGAACTTGTTTTACTTTAGTAAATAGGCTTAAGAATTAAATCACCTTAAAATTTTAAAGTTTAATTTATGTGAGGCTATTTGGTAATCTTTCTAGTTCCCATTTTATGAATATTAAAATCTGTCATTACTATAAAAATAAACTATTCTGAGAGCTTTTTCCAGAGTTAAGAGCTATAAATACATAAATATGCATACCCTAAGAAAGCGATAATTCATTCAAACTCATTATTGTCCAGTCAGAACTGACTTACAGCTAACCTCTAGTGAGTTTACAAGGTTGTAAAGTGCCCATCTTTTTCCCATGATGTGGTGGGTGGCTTTCAATCACTAAAGAGACGTGAAATCTTTAGCAGTACAACATCCTTTAGTTAGAAGCACAACACCCTTAGAACTAGGCCACCAGAGCTCCCTAAGAAAGTTATCTCTTAAACTCACTGCTCTGCAGTTGGAATAGGATCACAGCAGACACTCCAGTTGAGTTTTAAGAGACTGCAAACTATATAGGAGGAGATTGGTCAGCTCTCTCACTCAGAAAAATGGATTCATCTTTGGGTTGGCTGGCAGTGCAATAACCTATCCAGTGCACCACCAGGGCTCCTCATTGCTAACACTACAACATGTCTACTTTAAACTATTAACAGTTTGGGATCTCACCTGAATCTTAAGCACTCCAACCACTTGGGCTGTAGGTGGTGTGATAGTAAACTTCCACTCTGATCTCCAACGACCATTCCTATTAAAATACACACAACACCGCCGAATTAGCAACAAATATAAGAAAGGTAATCTAGGTGATCAGTCCCTGAGGCAGAGGAACCAGGGAAAATGGAAAAAAACCCAAATAATTTTTAGCTTGACAAATTCAAAGATTGGCTCATTTAAATATAAGTTTTGATCTAAGTGGCCAAATTATAAGCCTCCTCTAAGGTATTCTGACTTTCAATCTTCTACAAGTAGAAGACAGTTTCTATTCTGTTTATAGTAGGCCCTTCCACAAATGGATGGAGGAGGATGGATCACCAGTCAGGCAATTCCAAGTGGGCATTTTATTCATCCCTCATCAAGTTCATTATGATTGTACTTCTAAAAATAAAAAGGGGGAAAAAATCAGATCATAAAGCCTTATAATTGAGAGGAATCTAAACGATCATGTCTAAACACCTTATTTTACAGATGTGGAACTGAAGCTTTTAAATAAAATAACTTATTCTAATTTAGTTAATCTAGTCTCAACTCTAGTATGGTAGATGTATTCCAAGGAAACACGATACATACAGAAAACAATCTCTGTTTTCTTACCAGAAGTTCTTAGGTTGAAATTGATGGCTTTCAATACATGCAATAATAGTCTGTTGCCCATCTACTGTTTTAGCATAAACCTATTGTAAAATAATAAAAAGAGTGAGACTTTGAAAATACATTAAACCTAAATAACAATCAACACTGTACTAAATATTTGGGGAAGACAAAGAATCAGACAGAATAAGCTTATGATACAATAAGAGTTAATGGGATTTGAGCACATGTTAAGCACAACATGTTAAGTAGTATACAATTAATACAGAGGGGAATATTGCTTCTGAGGGTAAAAAGTGTCATTTAGGCTGGGCTCTATAAAACAAATTATATTCTGATAACAAAGAGACTGAGAATAAAGATGAATATACAGTCAGAAAATGGAGAATTTGCTAAAAGAATGACAATTAGTTAGGTTAAAGTTATGTGAAATGGACTGGTGAGACATAAAACAGGACAGCAGATTTAAGTCAGTTATGTAAAAACACTAGTATACTATAACCAGACTATTTGTTAGGAGAGGATAATGAATATTAGTGTAGAGGTTAAAATTAAAGTACCATTATCTGCTTCAAAAAGTGGAAAAGATAAACCAAAATGTGATTACAAAGGGAGAAAGCAAAGAAAGTGTCACTAAAATTGGCAAAATATGTTTTCACTCATACTTTCTTTTGCTCTAATAGTGAAACACATTGCTATCACACTAGTGATAAAGCTGAAACTCAGATACTGACTGAGTTGCCTATGGTCATTCAGAAAGTAAATGGTGATGGTTGAATTTTATTCTTTTCTGATAATCAAATTCTGCACTTAATACCAAATACATACATTAAATATGTTAAGAATTCTCAAGAGAATTTCTAGAAAAGAATGACACTTTGGGAATGCCTACATTTACAGAAGCAGCAGAAGAAGGAAAAAAAAATAGACAGGTACTGATATAGTAGCCATAGCAAAAGATAATTTATGAATATAGCTTGTTTGTCTCAGTGTACAATACTATAAAGAAGTCAAAGATCAAGAATAGTACACTGGGTCAATTCAGGAACTGTTAGTAACCTCAGCAGTTTCTATAAACTGGTTCCTAAAGAAAAAGTTCTCAAAAGGTTAACAAGGTGATAAATAGGAAACAGGAACTAGTGGGAGTAGAATTTTCCTTGTTTAATGATGAAGCAGAGAAGAGGATGAAAGAAGTGGATGAGAAGAAGGAAGAACAAGAGGAAAAAAAAAGAGAATAATTTTAGGAACATTATGACTTAGGGGAAGTTTTTTCTCTCTCTTAAGGATAAGAAAGACAAGAATATTTCTAGGTAAAGGGAAACATTAGATAACAAAGTCATAAGAAAACACCTGAAAGGAGCTAGCACAGTATGCAATTAAGAATAAAAGACAATTTCAAAGGATCTCTGGAGGCCTAGTGGCAAGAAGCTGTGCTGCAATCCTGCAGGTGTGTCGTGGTTCAAATCCACCAGATGAGCTGATGGAGAAGGAGGGGCAATCTCCTCCTCTGCCTGTCAGATCTGAATGATGGTACACAACAAGGGAAAGATTTTATCAGTCATAATCCTAATAAAACATGAGGAATTAGATAGCTGTCTAAAGACAATGAAAAACCTTACAAATATATAACAAAGAAAATATGATAGGAAATTAGATGAAATTAAGAATTATTAGGCAGGATAGCTGACAATGTAAGAAAACTGTGTACAACTGTGTATGATGAAACAATTCCAGGACTGTTTAGATCATCTGGTAGCTAAGAGAAGTAGTTAAGGGGGGGGGGGGGGGGGGGAGGGCTGAGAGAAGACAGTAAGTTATTTGGTGTCAGAGAATTCTAAGTTAAGGATTTTAAAAAGATACAGAGTAAAAAAGCTGTTTAAAAAATGACAAATTTCAAATTTCAGTTCGGTAATAAATTTAAAGCTTACTGAGGATTAACAGTCAATTTTTAAAAGATGGAATGCTGTGTCACCCTTTTCAACACTAGGTCCCAAAGGAATTATTACCTCTTAAGACTTTCCCCATTATATGACATACACTGTAAAAACACTTTACATGCATTCACTCAATCTTCACCCAAACTCTGTAAGGTAAGCACTATTTTTATTTCTATTCTACAGATAAAACTGAGATACCGAAATAATAAATAACTTGCTCAAAGTCACACAACTAGTTAAAGCTGCAACGTCAGGATTCAAGTCGTCAGCACCATTTCACAGTAATGGCTCGTAATCAGTATTCTACACTTTTATTTACTTGGTCATCACTACATATTTAAAATATCCTAATATTTTTCTTAGTAATAATGCCACAATTTCACAAAGAAATGACAGACAAATGTATTCTTCTTAGAGCCATGAGGTAGTAGAGAGGTTTTTTTAAAATATTTATTTCAAATACTTTTTGACTAACAAAAGGAAACGTCTAAGCAAAGCAGAGGTAGTGCTGTGTAAAATATTAAAGAGACATAAATATGGCCAACAATCTTCATTTACCATTTCCATCTCCCATGTGTAAGGTATGTCTTTTCTTTTTTTTTTTTGGTATGTCTTTTCATGTGAAAATGTAAAGAAGAATACATTGAGAGTTCTTTTTAATGCATGCATTCGTTTTTCTGGAAAAAATATTTTCCGTAAGAAATTTTTTTTTCATATCCTTTAAAATAATGATTTGGGAAATAGAATGTGGAAAAGGTCATAACTAAGAAGAAAGACATGATATCTGTTGACCAAAGACTCTACAGGATAAGAAAAAAACAACAAAAATTCCCCAAAATGAAGTAGGTACTTAACAGTACAGAAACCGTTGGAATAATGATCTTTCACATAGGCTCTTAAAGCACTGTCACAGGATTCTCTCCAAGACTTCAGGCCTCCATCACCGTCCTCAGGTTGAGGGTCACTTGCTTCTTTCCGTAAGTGATCAAACTTGAAGGAAATTTTGTTTCTTGGGTCTAAAAATCTGCTATTACCCAGGTCACCATGTTCCGTAATTAAGACCTTCCAAAGAATAATTACATATATGAGTAACTATAAAAAATCTAAAGTTTAGTGCAGCTTATCACATTTTATAAAGACAAAGTTTTCTAATGAAGACTAAAAGTTAACCTTCCATTCCCTCAGCTATTTCTTTAAAATTAATGTATCAACTAAAACCTACCTTTATTCTTAGAGGGAAAGACTGTATTTATCAGTAAGTCAGTTTTAAATGGCAAATTTTCCCCTATCCTAATATTTTTTTTTCTGGTTTTCTTCTAATATAATTTTTATGTGTATGCAATAATTTGTGTATTCAAATTTTTCTCCCTTGTAAAACTTTCTCAGTCATAATGAGCATTTTAAACAGGTATTACTTTCACATCATTTTCCCCTCCTCAGAAAGTGAAGTATCTCTTCACTATCTCCTATCCATCAAATTTCTAATAAACCTTTCCTGCTCCCACAAGCTAAGTGATTTTATGAATTTAGAGCAGAAGTTGACAATCTACATACATCACTTAAGTATTACTTATGTTTTATAAAACAAAGTTTTATTGGGACATAACCCTATTCATTCATTTTTGTATGTTAATAGTTGTTCCTTTCCTACTACAACATCAAAGAATCTGCAACAAAAATCTGATGTTCTACAAAGCAGAAAATAGTTTTCTAGCCCTCTAAAGAAAAAAAATGCACCAAATTTCAATTTAGGATATTCTTTTGTTTTTTCTTTTTTAAAAATACAAAACTAATTGCTGTCAAGTCATAACTGATCTTCCATTGGGTTTTCAGAGACTAAAAATCACAGGGACGAAGACTGCCCACTGCTAGCTCAACTATCTCTACCCAGTAGGTCATCAGAGCTCTCCTTAAAAAAATTAATGACTCAAATTCTCTACCATTTTAATTTACACAAAAGACAACATGCTGTATTATACTTGGATTTTTTTTAATTTAATATATCTAGAAGACTTTTCCATATTAGTACTCAGAGAAATACTTTGTCTATTATCATAGCTGTATAATATTCCCTTGTATGGTTATAAAAAAATTTATTCAACAAATACCTACTGTAGTGGTGTTGTTACGTATTACCAATGCTGTTATAATGAACACTACTACAATAAATGTTCTTTATAGTCTTCTTTCTGCACTTGTGCTAAATACATCTGTTGGGAAAATTACCTGAAGTGGGGGGAGTTGATTCAAAGTGTAAAATCATGTTTTTGTGCAGAAAAATGCATTAAGATA